AACAACAACAACAACAACAACAAGGCTCACCCACTGACTGTGTAAACTTGAACAAATTAGCACACTAGAACTGTTTTCTCATCTGTTGCTAGAAGTGGAATCTGATGTCAACTGGAGTCTTTCAGCCCAGGAGAGCTATACTTGTAGTCTCATTTCTGCTTTATTTAAATATTTCCACAAGTTTCTAAAGGCCTATATTCTATCACCTCTGATTTCTGCTTCTACTAAATGAATACTTACATGTTACAAATTGTAATGAACCGCCACAGTACCTTGTGTCTGCTTGTTTTCATAAAGCCTGATGTAGACTCATATGAAAGTCAGATCTTCTCCACAAGGCAAACATCTTTAGATTGCTTGATACTTCTCATTTGTTTTAAAAGTCCTTAGTCACCGCCCCACAATTCCACCTTAGCTTCTCCCTTTCTCATTGCTTCCTGCCTCCTCTTTGTTTCTCAGATTCTTTCTTCCATTCTCTTCTCCTCCCTCCTCAGAACAAAAATTAAGTCCTCTTTTTATTTCTCTGAGTATTTAATAATTTCTTTTGTAGCGTTGGCTCTTGATAATTATGCGTTCAAGGTATTATCTTCTCCAAATGACTTACCAAAATTTTCCATACACAAAGGCAGTTTCCCAGCCCTTTTTCAGCCTATGTAGTCCAACCTCTTCTCTGTCTGCACCCAGTCATACTGATTAGCTTCTCCGCTCCACTTTCCAATTCCCAGTCAATGTATTTTGTTTCAACTTAATTGTTTGGAGGAGTGCTGGTGTGGTGCTGTGGGTTAATGTGCTGGACTGCAAAGTCAGTTTGAACTGCAAGGTCGGAGGTTCAAGCTCACCAGCTACTACTCTGCTCAAGCTAAAATGTCTCTTAATTAGTGGCAGCATCAATTGGATCAAGTGTGGCAACAGTAGTGAGGCTGGCCTAGGACCGGGCAGTGTTTCGTTCTGCTGTGCATAGGGTCGCTATGAGTCAGCACCTAACAACAACAACAACATACCTATGTTAACATAAACAAGTACTAGTCATACTCCATGACTAGTACCTAGTTTTATTTTCAGTAACAATTCAATAAATACTAGAATAAATCTGACAAAGTACCTAAAACACGTGGTAGGAATTCAGGTCCTTGCTAGTTAAATGAATGCATGCAATAAGAAATTTAGAAGACATACAACACTTGTGGCAGAAGTAGTGACCCCGGCCTGGAATGCTGCCATTTAGCTTCCCCCTTGCCTATGTGTCAATCATATGAGAGAGACCTGAATTCTAACTTCTCAGCTCTACAGTAAATGTATGACCTCAGCGAGTAAGTTCAGTGCGCAAGGCTTGTTTTCATCATCAGTAAAATGAATGCCCTGGGTTCAATGATCTCTAAGGTAGATATAGTTGAGTATAGTTGTTCCTAGAAAAGTAATACAGAAACATGGAAACAAATATTCAAATGGTGTGAAGGGCACCTAATAAGTAAGTCTCTTTACTTACTTGTAGGCCCTTCTTCTCAGAAGAGGTCTCTTTAGACTAATTCTCCTTTATTCCTCTGAATAATATACTTATGCCTCTATTTTAAAATGTGATATTTTGAAGGGTATCATTTTTTTCCCTGTCATTCAAGATAGGAACTTAGTTTATTACCTTATCCTATATTTTACAGATATGTGTATTTTAATGATTTATATCCATTTGCTTTATTGCTTTAATAGACTTTGTTGTTTATGCTTAATGCTGTCTTCATTTTCCTCCACTCCTCCCTCTTGTTTTCCCTAGGTTCTGTTAAATCCAGGGCTTTGAACCAGTTTGAATGGGGGTTCATTCATGGCTGATGAAGCAAAATCTGAGCAGACGGAACTTTTTAAGATTTAGGTCATTTGGAATGGTACCCGGTGATGGTGGTAGTTGTGTGCCATCAAGTCAGCTCCAGCTCATAGTGGCTCTATGTAAGGTTTCCGAGGCTGTAAAGCTTTATGGGGGCAGAAACCCTCATCTTTCTCCCAGGGAGCATCTAGTGGATCAAGCTGCTGATATTATGGTTAACAGCCCAACCAACCCACTACCCCACCAGGACTCTTTGGAAGGCTAATTAAAATAGGAGAAATTAGGGGTTGAATTCCTAAAATGGGACACTCAGAAGCAGCATAGTGAGCCTTTCAGGAGCTGATGCATGACAATGGATGCTTCCAGGACTGTGAAGAGCAACACCCACCTTACCAGCCACCATCTTTGAGCTGACACCATTATTTTCAACTCAGCCTGGCAAGTGATTTGGTTGCAATGCAATGTGCATGCTGCCCTTGTTTTCTATGAGGGAAATTAAATTTCTAGGGAGCCTTTGACCTATAATTGTTCCTGTTCTGGTTAGCAATTGAGTTCACCAATATTTACAATCACCAATTAAAAAAAAAAAAAAAAGGTGGTGCTTCATCAGCCATGACTGAAGTGGGATGAATCAGTTCAAACCTCTGGTTAAATCATTACTTCTATATTTTCTTAGGTTATAATGTGCAACTCTGAAATTTTTAATGTGTTTCTATGCCTTTTTTAGAATTTCCTAAATTTAAAAAAATTGAAGACAATGAAGTATAAGTCTGTGACTATTGTGCTATAAATCTAGACAGTGAGATGGGATGTGGAGAGCAAGGCATAGTCGTTCTACTTCACCATAGCTGGCCTCTTGGAGAAGAAGATTTCAAGCATCAAAGTCACATTGATGCTTTTTTACTACCTTGCATATGTTGCTCAAAATCATGTGACATTTTAGCTTGTATCATTTTATGATCCCTTTGAAAACAAGAGCAGAAAAGTAAAATCGGATGAAAAGTTTATAGAATATCTTCTCTTTCAGTTGTAGCTACTGCCATCACATAGTAGGACTGTTGAACAAGATGCACTTCTTGGCATTCAGCTTTTGAGATGTTTTGCTTGGTGGTGGTGATTTGGTTAGAGAGCTAATTTTGTTTTAAAAGCTATTATTTTCTTTATACAAATACTCTGGGGAGTAGACAGCTGGAATTGTTGCAAGGCAAGAGGTGTATGAAATTTTGTCAGATTCTTATACTTGTATATTTTAACAATTAATTTATTATTTTGTCTTGTATTTAAGAAGATGGAACTGTGTTTCCCATAGTTCCGATCAAATTTTCTCTCATTTCCATGGACAGTTGAAAGGTTGTTCCTTCTCAGCCCTGCTACTAAGACATCTAGAGGAGCTACAGCAAGGCTGTCTGGACACAGGTCTTAGTAGGTATAGGAGGCAATGAAGAGTGATTGGGAAGAAGCAGCACCAGAGGAGGCTGTGTGAACATACTGCCCTTTGGCTGCCTGGCAGTTGGCCTGAAAAACAAAGAAGAGAGAGTAGATGGAGTTAGAGTAAGCCAAAGCCCTCTGTTTGATGACCTCTGCTTCTCATTTGAAACCAGCTACACCTTCATTTGATTTTTGTTTTGTTTTGTTTTTTTACAGTGAAATTGCTGAATATGGCTACTGATACCATGCCATTCTTCTATAATATGCCATCTCCTTCATATCCCAATGTTCTGAGCATTTCTTGGGCAAACCTGAAGTTTGTGTCAGTTACTGGGAAACAATACTGAACCACCACTACCCAAAATCAAGATTGAGAAATTCCTACTCATATAGCACTCTATAGCAAAAACAAAAAAAACGCTTATTTGAAATATTTTCCATTTCTACTTGTATTTGTCTAAAAGAATAAATATTTTATATGGTTTGCAATCAATAGTATCAGAGTCCTGGTATGGCGCTGTGGGTTAATGTGCTGGACTGCAAAGTCTGTGTGAACTCCCAAGGTAGGTGGTTCAAGCTCGCCAGTCGCTCCTCAGAAACCCTATACAGGGTCGTTATGGGTCGAAACTGACTTGAAGGCACTTAACAATCATAGTATCATTTCATTCTCTGTGTGAGTTCCAACTAAAAGTAAATTCAAAATTATGAAATTTATGATAATGTTCAAATGCCACCTACTGGTAACCAATCTTGAGCTCACTAGTGCTATTGTTTGCTCTCTCCAGGACCTATTTCTACAGCTTATACCAGTGATTCTTCAAGTATGGTTCATGGGCCATCAGTATCACCTGGTTCAAGTATCATCAGTATCACTTGTTAGACATGGAAATGTTCTGACCTCATCCTAGACCACCTGAATCAGAAACTTCGGTGGTGAAGCCCAGCAGTCCGTCTTTTAAAAAGCCCTTCAGGTGATTCTGATGCAAGCTCATGCTTGAGAACCACTTTCCCAGATGATGAACACTGTTTGTGTGGGGATAGGCTTGAGACCTTTCACAATCCCACCATCATCTTAATTATAGCTTCCCACCTCAGAAGCCCTGGGGAGCAGGGGGTGTGCTTTAGGACAAGTACTGCAAATCCACCAGCCACTCTGTGGGAGGAAGATGAGGTGTTTTATTCCCATAAAGATCTATAGCCTTGGGAACCCATACAGAGTTGCTTTGAGTTGGAATCAACTCGATGACTAGGTTTTTTGTTACTTGTTTTTCATCAGCCAGGCATCCATTATCACAAGGTAAAGTTGTTACGTGCCTTGGAATGGGTTCCTACTTACACCAACCCTGTAACCAACAGAATGAAACCCTGCCCAGTCCTGTACCATTTTCACATAATTCTTAGGTTTGAGGACATGTTTTGCAGTCATTGTATTAATCCATCTTGTTGAGTGTCTTCCTCTCTTTTGATGATCTCCTACCAAGAATGATGTCCTTTTCCAGGGACTGGTCCCATCTGGTAGTATGTCCAAAGTGCATGAGACAAAGTCTTATCATTGTCCCTTCTTAGGAGCATTCTGGGTGTACTTCTTCCAAAACAAATTTGCTTGCTATCTGGTAGTCCATGTTGTAGCTGTTGTTAAGTGCCATCAAATCGGTTCCAATTCATAGCAACCCTTTATAGGGTTTCCTAGGCGTGGCCGGTGAGCTTGAACTACCAACCTTAGTTAAAATTGACTTTGCAGTCCAACGTATTAACCCACAATGCCATATGAGTCCATAGTATATTTAATATTCTTTGCCAACACCATGATTCAAATGCCCCCGTTCTTCTTCAGTCTCCCTTATTAATTATTCAACTTTTTTATGCATATGAGGGGATTGAAAATACCATGGCTTGGGTCAAGTGCACCTTAGTCCTTAAGGTGATATCTTTGCTTTTGAACATGTTAAAGAGGTATTTTGCATCAAATTTGCTCAATGTGCAGTACATCGTTTCATTGCTTGACTACTGTTTCTGTGAACATTGATTGTGGACCCAAGTAAAATGAAATCCTTGACTATTTCAATCCTTTCTCTGTATAACACGATGTTGTTTATTTGTTCAGTTGTGAGGACTTTTGTTTTTTTTATATTGAGGTATATTCCATACTGAAAGTTGTAGGTTTGTTTTTTTTCTTTATCAATACGTGCCTCAAGTCCTCTTCACTTTCTGCAAGCAAGGTTATGCCATCTACATATCACAGATAGTTAATGAGTCTTCCTCCAATCCTGGTGCTGCATTCCTTCTCATATAGGTCAGCTTCTTGGATTATTTGCTCAGCATATAGATTGAATAAATATGGTGAAAGGATACAATACTGACCCACACCTTTCCTATTTTAAATCAGGCAATATCTCCTTGTTCTGTTCTAATGACTGCCTCTTGGTCTATGTACAGGTTCTGCATGAGCACAATTAAGTGCTCTGGAGTTCCCATTATTTGGAATGTTGATCATGCCTTTGCATAGTCAATTAAACACAGGTAAACATCTTTCTGGTATTCTCTACTTTCAGCCAAGATCTATCTCTAAAATCTCATGTTTCTCCCCTGGCTCTGAATTACTTTTGAGCTCCTCAGGGTCTTTCTTTCTTTTAGTGCCTCATTAACAAACTTCTGGCTAAACTTGATTCCTTGCCCAGACTTCTCTAAGTTAAGTGGGGCTATCACTAAAATTCTTCATTCTTTCCTCTTTTTATTAAAATCTTACTCTTAACCCTGCTATTTCCTATTCAGATTAATCTGAATCTTTCTGTGTGCTTAATAGAGCAGCTAGGAAAATTCAGGCACTTAGCTTAAGGCACCAGAAACACAAGCTCACATTTCAGCTGCATGTTCCCTGGTGCTTTGTGGTAATGTCTGACCACAATGTCTGGTCTATGTCTTAGCCAACTCCTTCAAGAGCTATTCTAGCCTTCCCCACTGATAGTACTGAAATCTCCATGCCTGCTTGTTCTCAACAGATTTCCTTAACTGTAATAAGTTAACAACTGTTACATCTCTTCATCTCCACAAAACTAATTCCAACCCACTTTCTTCTTTTCTATTTTTCCTCCTTTCTAAGACAACTTAACACCTGTATTTTATGTTTAGTATCATGCAATCTTATTTCTATAAGTCCTTGTCCCTTCAATTATGCCCACTCTCCTCATCTTTAATCCTTTGTTTATATCGAAACATGTCCAGTTCATTTCTATTTGACTATATTCTAATCTCCTTAAGAACAGAGACTAGGGATCGAGGCATAGTTTGAAGAGGGGAAATAATACTAAGATGCTTGACTGTCTTACATATATTGGTTTCCCTTGCCTACTATTGTAAAATGGACACTTGAGTAGTCTAGAAAGGAATGTCAGGAAGCATGATTACAGAAAGCTTGTAAGCCTGTCTTCAGCCTATAGCTGATTGGAGAACCTAAAAGGAGTTCTAGAACTTGCCCAGTGAAATAGGCCTCCTGTGGAGCCTTTGTAATGTATAGGACCTTAGGTGGAATCCCGAGCCCCATTGAGAACATTCAGAGGTAGAACATTCCCACTAGAATGGACAAGCAGACCAGCCTGGTACAGCTATAGTGACAGAAGATACATCTTCAAAGAAAGATCATCAGGAAAAACCCAAAGCAAAAATGGCAGTATGACTGGCTACTATAAGAATAAGCAAGTTGTTCGCCAGGAAGCAATCAAGTTTCTTCAGGACAAACCCCACTCTAAGACTGAAACTCAAAGGGAACACATGAGCAGGCAGGTAAGCTTGCTGGCAACCACATTGGTCTACTGGTGAGTGGAAGATGGGAAAAGGCAGCAATGAAGAAATTGGCTGAGTTCAACCAGACTCCCATTGACCTGAAGATGAGAGAGAGAAGAGGAAGGGCTGCTTGGTGTGGTGTGGCACACTTGGTGTGGCACACTTGGTCCAAAGTGAGCTGAGCGCATGGACAAGGACATAGCCACAAAGGGCTAGAGCTGAGAGTGAAGCATCCAGATGATATGAAGTGAGAGGAGGTGCACAAGAACACCCAAACTTGCAGATAGTACCCACTTGACCTAACCTCAGTGGCTTGATAATCAGAACTCGACTAGAGGAAGATAAAAAAAAAAAAAAGAAGAAGAAGAAAACAATTTTTGATAAAGGAAACAAGGGTAAGTTGCTGCAATTTGATGAACTTGACCTATACTCATGGAGGTAGTAACTCGAAATACAGAGAGGGAAGGAGTCTTCACATCAAGTATCAATGCTGTCCCCTCTGTACACAGGTCAGATAGGAATGGGCAACTTAGACATTGGCTACTTAAAATGTTGTTGTTGTTGTTAAGTGCTGTTGAGTCAGTTCTGACCCATAGCGACCCTGTATAGGGTTTCCGAGGAGCAGCCGGTAAGCTTGAACTGCTGACTTTGCAGTTCAAACAGCTTTGCAGTCTGGTGCATTAACCCACAGCACCACACCAGGATTCCTACCTAAAATGAGGAGGTAATAAAGGCACGAAGATTACAAGGTTTCAATGGCGAGTTGAGTTTAATAGTGTGTGGGGGAAGAAAGAGTCCCCACTGAATAGTTTTCATCTTGTCTAGATGGGTCTGGTGAAAAGAGATGGGGATAAGATTCTTAAGATTCAGTAGTGAGTAATTGTTATCATGACTGATTGCAACTCTTACAATTATAAAGGTAGAAGTGTTGTAACAAAAACAGGGGAGTAGTTAATCTTACAGTCCAGAAACAAAGGACCCTAAAACCATCAAGAGAGAAGAGTAGAGGCAGAATGTGAGACCTTATCCAGAGAAGCAGCATATCAGGGATGGAGGCAGAGATGGAGACATGGAGAGAGGGAGCAGCTGAGGACTCTAGATTCATGGGAAGAGAGGAACTGAGAGCTGGTGGCCAGGAGGCAGACTTGCAGAATGTGTAAATTATGGTGGTGTAAATTATTACATATGTCTGAGTGTTTTTTTGTTTGTTCTTTTTAAAGAACTAAAGTGAATAAAGAGAAATACTGTTAACTGGTGGTACATGGAGGGGATTATAATCATTGTAATGACACAAGGTGTATGACTGTTGAATGTAAAACTGATAATCTGCCCTGTAAACTTTCAGTCACTCCACAATAAAAACCTTAAAAACAAAACAAAACAAAACAGAGACTATGTCTGAGTTATTAACTCCAAGGCTTGGCTCATAGTAGGTTTTTAAAACTAATAGTAATTGAATAAAAACCTCTTTTGGACTTATTTATCTTGTTAAAATTTTCAAGTCTCTTCCTGACAAACTTCTTGAATGTGTAACCTTTCCCTTTCTCTCTCTATTAAAAGTGTTTTGTTGAGGCTCATGGATGTGCTCCTAAATGCTAATCCCAGCAACTTTCTCAGCCTTTGTTTTTAATCTGTCTGTAGAAGATTTTTTTAAGACTTTTTTCTAATTCTTCCCAGATCCTTTTATTCATCGTACCATATTATTATTGCTTTTCTTGGTGGCTTCTCCTCGTCCCAAAATGAATTGTGTCCCAGGTTCAATCCTTAGTTTTCTTCCCTCTGAAGTGTTTTTGTTGGAATTATCCTTCAATCTGCTGTCATCAGCTATATTCCTTATGTGAATAACTCAAAACTCTCAATAGCTTTAACATTTGCAATGAGCTCTAGTGTTACATTTCAAATACCTAGTAGACACTACTTGGAGTTCTGGTGTGACACTGTAGGATAAGAACTGGACTGCTAGCTACAAGCTCGGGAGTTCAAACCCTCCCACCATTCCTTGGAAACAATATACAGAGAGCGTTGCTGTGAGTCAGAACCAATTCAACGGCACTTAACAACAACAGCAGTAGACACTACCTGAAGATAACTTTATGGCCTAAAAAACAATAATGCATCCCTTTGAGGGAGAATGAGCTGTAGGAATTAACTTAGTCAAGTAGATAAGAAGTAATAGGGTCTTACCATAGCCCGCTTCATAAAGGCCTCCTGGGTTGCCTTCTTGTTGGCAGGTTTCCCACTCCAAGCAGCAAGTGCACTGGCCTGCAGGGCCCGTCCATAAGAGAAGCTTAGTTTCCAGGGCTTTATTAGAGGGCAAAGATTGATGGCATTGAGGTTGAGAGTGGCATCCTCTTCACTCATGCCACCGGACAAGAAGCAGATACCTGGAAGGGGAGAAGTCATTACATTGTAGAAGGATGAAGCACTGGGGACATAGTGGGTTACACACTGGACTATTAACCACAAGGTCAGTGGTCAAAATCCACCAGTCAGTCCATGGGAGAAAGATAAGGCTTTCTGCTCCCACAAAGATTACAGCCTCAGTATACACAGTGGCTATGAGCCAGAACTGACTCAGAGACACACAACAACAAAAAGTTTATGTACCCTGCTTGAGAAAACAAGCTATGAATTTAAATGCTGTATCTCAATGCTCTGCTGAACTTTGGGCCAGAGAAACGAGTTTGATTTTGCTTGGATTTATTGGTGAAAGGGAGAAGAACTTTAATAAATTAGGAGGACAGTAAAAATTTGAGGGAAACAGAGAAGAATTGTCTTTGTGAATTTGGGTAGACTCTATCATGGACTGTCTATGAAATAGTGTATTTCATGGATAGAAGCTACTCCTGAACAAACACACATGCTTGCGTCACTCCGTTAAATGAGAAGAGCTAAGACTTCAAGTTAGATAAGAAAGATGATCTTACCGGGAACAGCTGCAGGAACAGTGCGGCGGAGAGCTGTGACGGTGGCCATAGCCACTTGCTCTGGACTGTACTTCTTGGTGCAGGCGTGTCCAGCAGTCACCATGTTGGGCTTAAGAAGAGTGCCTTCTAGGTAAACATGATGGTCATTCAAGGCCTTGTAGACAGCAGCTAGAACCTTAGGGATGAGAGATTCAAACAGGTGAAACCTAGAGCCAGCCTTAGAGTCATATTATCTCTGTACACCTCCACTACAGAGATGAAGGAATGCCCACATATTATTAGCCAGGGCTTCCTAACTAGCCATGGGACTTCATCAGGGCAGTGCATTGCAAACCATAGCCACTGAGCACAATAAAGCTGCCTTATCCCTACTACCCCTACACTAGCTGACCCTGACTCCTTTTCATTGCTCTCTTTGGTTGATGCTACTTCCTTTTTGAGACTGCCTTGGTTTAACTGGGGACATCTAGACTTGTCTCCAGCCACTCCTTAGAAACCCTATGCAGGGTCGCTATGAGTTGTAACCCACTCGATGGCTCTTCACAACAACAACAAAGACTGGCCTCCACTCTCCATCCCATAGAGTAGTTGTACAAACGTACATTTTAGAGACAGAAGTACTTTAAGCACTCATTTTACTTATGTTTGCAAGGGAAGAAACCGAGGTCAAACTTCCTTATTCTCTCACTGTGTGTGAGGAGAGCTACCCTCTTTTATGTATACTGTGGCAAATTCAGAAACTCAGATGTGAATGCAGTACTTTCTAATTGCATTTTGTTTCATGTGAGCTCACAGTTCTTACATGCAGGACCATCAAAAAGCTTGTGGAAACATGGAATGAAAAGATAATGTAATTTTTCCATGCCTTTTTGAAGCCCCTTCTTATGTAGTTTACATAAAATGAAACTAAGGTCCACAAAGACAATATGACTTACCTACCTAAGATCCTACAAGCCAAGTTTTAGTACCACAATCTCTGCTTTTTTCGTAAGGAGCATGCCATGTGCCAAAACAGTGGAGGATGGATTAATATCTCCTTAGTTTCTCAATACTACATAATGATCCTAACTTGTAGAACATTCCAAATATCTAATAATTATAACAGCTATTCCGAAAACAAGACTTTGCAACTGGCATTTTGAGGTACACCTTCAACCCTTTCCTTACCTTTTCACTAACATATTGGCAGTGTTCCAGGTCATGGTCCCCATCAGGAATGACTTCTGGTTCAACAATCGGTACCAACCCATTCTAAATAGGAAAAAAGGCAGGGACAAAAGTCAAGCAGTGCTCACTATGATCCTTTCCTTAGAAGGAGGTTTGTTCAATAGTTGCAATTCATTTGTAAAATGAAGCCCTTATCAAGATATTTGGAGTCTGGTGTGGCGCTCTAAGATAATGCACTTGGACCACAAGGTTGGTTTGAACTGTTGGGTCAGTGGTTCAAACTCAACAGTTGCTCCTCAGAAGCTCTGTACCAGTAACTATGAGTCGAAATCAGCTCAACGGCACTTAACAATAACAACAAATCAAGAAATATAAGAAATACAATATAGGTGACCCAAAGGCAAGTTAAAAAAAAAAAAAAAGTTGATGGAATGGCTACTGAGCATTTGTGACTTAATCAAAAACAAAAGAAAAGAAATGAGGCAAGAATCTTGATTTCTGAAAAAGAATGTGGCTAAAAAAGAATGTTGTCGTTGTTAAGTGCCATGGTGTCAGTTTCAACTCATAGCGACTCTGTATAGGGCTCCTAAAGGGTGGCTGGTAGATTTAAACCTTGCGGTTAGCATCCCAGTGCTTATCCTACAGTGCCGTGATAATTTTTATATTTTATTCTAGGGACGATAACAACTACCCTACAACCTAGCTACCACCCTTTTAAAGAAATCAGCCTAAATCACTAAGAAAAATGTCCCTTGTGTGGTTTAATTAAGGATTTTAAGCAGTGCCTGTATTTCTCATGGTATGGCACTATGGGTTAATGCAATGGAGTGCAAGGTTGGTTTGAACTGCAATATTGGTAATTCAAGCTTACCCACAGCTCCTTGGAAACCCTATACAAGATTCTTATGAGTAGGAATCAGCTTGAAAGACACTTAACAACAACAATAACAACATATTTCTAATCAGAAATCTCAGATTCCCTCAACTCTAGTAAGTGCTATATCATTCTCACAGAAGCAAATGAGACTTTAGTTGGATTCCCAGGCTCTTTAACACATGCTGGAAGTCATTGGCATCAAGTCATTAAAAACATACATTTAAAGACAGAAGTACTTTAAAATCTCATTTTAGTCCACTTTGCAAAGGAAACTTGCAACCAGAAGGTGTTTGATTAGAACTAGGTCAGAACTAGATTCCTGGTGTGGCACTGTGGGATAAAGCACTGGACTGTATGGTCAGTTTGAACCACAAGGTAGGCAGTTCAAACTCACCACCTACTCCTTGAAAACCCTATACAGGGTTGCTATGAGTCAGAACCAACTTGCCGACACTTAACAACAACACCAACAATAGTAAGTCAGAACTATCACCCTTCTGCTAGGGGCCTAAGAGGATCATGTCTTAAACTTTGTGGAAGCTACAGAGCAATTGCCCTGGTCTCAAGGGTCTGACACTTTTAAGACTCAACTTTATAATGATTTGATTGTGGGCAATGGCCTTTTGTTCATGGCTTATTGGAGCTCCTGCTGGCTTGCAGGACCAAATCTTTCCCTCTCATACCTGACTACAGTAAAAACTGCAAAAATTTCCACCAAGTTATAATGAAAAAGTGAAAGAAAGGTCTATGTGTGATGATAGTAAAATTGGAAAGACAGGCTTTAAAGGAAATATTCTAGTTCAGTTCAGTTACTGCTGAGTCAACGCTGACTCATAGTAACCCCATGTGAGTTAGAGTACAACTGTTCTCCACAGGGTTTCCAATGGTTGATTTTTTTGGAAGGAGATGATCACGACTTTCTTCTGAGAAGTCTCTCAGTGGAGTAGAACCACTAACCTTTCAGTTATCAGCCAAGCACTTAAGTACTTGCACCAGCCAGGGGCTAAAAAGGAAATGCTAGTCTAGTGTTTTTTAGCCCAGTGGGAAGGCAGACTACCTGCTGACAGATGCTGGCATAGCGGGCCAGGGCATTGGCATTCTCCTGGATAGCAAGGTTGGATGGACAGTGGTCAGCGATCCTCAGCACAGCACGCCACTTTCCAAAGTCAGCGCCGTCCTTCTTGTACTGAGCACAGCGCTCAGACAGGCCATCAAGCCCTGTAAGTCACACAGAAAGACAGAAAGACTTTTTTGAATCCTTGTCCCTCATCCATAAGGCATCTGCTACAGTGACTTAGCATTCTGTCAGCAGAGCTTGAAAACTGAAAATAACCAAGCTAATAAACATTTCTAGGCAAGGAGACCTGGATGGAATGAATAGGGATTTCATGTACATGGCTGATATTCCTTAATTAGAATGGAAAGAAGAAAAAAAATTTAAGTGTTTACTATGTTCTAGGCATAATTCTAGACATTTTGCATACCTTATCTAATTTAATTACCATAACAACCCAAATATTCAATACTATACTCATTTTCCAAGGGAGCTCTGGTAGTGTAGTGGTTCTGAATTGGGCTGTTAACCTCAGGGTCAGCAGTTCGAAACTACCAGCTGTTCCGTGGGAGAAAAATGAGGCTTTCTGCTCCTGTAAAGATTTACAGCCTCAGAAACCCTGTAAGGGTCGCTATGAATCGGAACCAGCTCCACGGCACACAATAACAACATACTCATTTTCCACCACTTATCTGTCACTTTGTCATACTGTGGTGGCTTGTGAGTTGCTGTGATTCTGGAAGCTATGCCACCGGTATTTTAACTACCAGCAGGGTCAGCCATGGTGGACAGGTTTCAGATGAACTTCCAGACAAAGAAAGACTAGGAAGAAGGAGTGACGAACTACTTTCAAATATGTAGTCACTGAAAACCTATGAATAGCAGAGAAACACTTTCAGATATAGTGCCGGAAAATGAGCCTCTCAGATTGGAAGGCACTCAAAATGTGACTGGGGAAGAGTTGCCTCCTCAAAGTAGAGTTGACCATGATGACGTGAATGGAGTAAAGTCCATGGGAGTAAAGCCTGCAGGAACTTCATTTGCTGATGGGACACCACTCAAAATGAAGAGAAACAGCTGTAAACATCCATTAATAATCAGAACATGGAATGTATGAAGTATGAATCTAGGAAAGTAGGAAATTGTAAAAAGTGAAAAGGAGCGCATAAACATCTATATCTTAGGCAATAGTGAGCTGAAATGGACTGATATTGGCCATTTTGAATCTGACAGCCACATGGTTTAGTATGCTGGAAATGACAAATTGCATTCATTGTCAAAAAGAACATATCCAGATCAGTCATGAGGTATGCAACGCTGTCTGTGATAGGATAATATCCATGAGCCTACAGGGAAGCCCAGTTCATACCACAAACAGGTCTATGTTGGACGAAGTGCAGCCAGAGTGCTTCTTGGAGGCCAGGATGGCCAAACTTCGTCTCTCATACTTTGGGCATATTGTCAAGAGGGACCAGTCACTGGAGAAGGATATCATGTTTGGTAAGGTGGAGGGTCAGAGAAAAAGAGGAAGACCCCCAGTGAGATGGATTGGCCAAGTGGCAGCATCGATGGACTCAAGCGTGTCAATTGTGAGGTTGGCCCAGGATTGGGCAGTATTTCATTCTGTTGTACATAGGGTAGCTATGAGTCGGTACCGACTCGATGGCACCTAACAACAACAATACTCATTTTGGAGTCTTGGTGTGGCGCTGTGGGTTAATGCGCCAGACTGCAAAGCTGTTTGAACTGCAAGGTCAGTGGTTCAAACTCACCAGCTGCTCCTCGGAAACCCTATACAGGGTCGCTATGGGTCGGAATCGACTCAACAGCACATAACAACAACAACAACAATACTCAGTTTACAGATATAGAAACAGACTTCCAGGGGTTAAGTGACTTTATCAAGTTTATATGACTAACAAGTGACAGAGCTGGAAATAACATTTTCATAAGGTATTCAGTGCTGCAAAATGATTTAAGTTGTGACAGAACCAGGATTCAATACCACATGTGTCGAACATAAAGCCTGGAACCTTTCCACTCTATTCCAGCTAGACTTTTCTCTAAAATGAATATTGTTTCAGGTACACACACCTTCTCTGTGCAAGGCACTGTGATGAATCCGTTTTGTACTTTAACTAGTTTAATCCACACAAGTTAACTCTACAATGTAGATGTTGTTGTTGTTGTGTGCCGTGGAGTCGGAACCGACTCATAGCGACCCTGTACAGGGTTTCCGAGGGTGTAAATCTTTACGGGAGTAGAAAGCCTCATCTTTCTCCCGCGGAGCAGCTGGT